TTCTCTAGGTCTGTTAAACAATCCATGCTGGGACAAACCCTGTCATTCCTTTGCGTCGTGTAAACTCATAAATGGTACTCAAGCAGTCTGCGTATGTCCACAAAACTGCACGAGCAGCAGAAGACCCGTGTGTGGTACAAACTGGAAAACGTATGATAACTTGTGTTCCTTGATGGCGGACTCCTGCGCAATGAATGATTGGAATAGTTTAAGATACAATGGCGAATGTAAGTTGATGTCTTTTTGGCCTTTTTACGTATGGTAACTCTAGGGCTAAGAATAGACACTTGATGGGTTTTTGTAGGTGGAGATTTACAGTGGAATTTATATGCAGTTTTGAGTTTTAGACCTGACCGGGAGAAGAAAAATGCTATCTTAGACCCTTCAAAGACTGGTTGACACTATCCAAGTTTATGTGATCACAATAGGAATTTTGCATCTAAATTCTACGTTTTTGAAGGATTTGTAAGAAATGTTTCAGGGAACTGACTCCGTGTTAAACACTATGTCCGTTCCCTCAAACATTTCTTACAAATTAGCCATTCCGAAGTTGACGAGAGGACTGGGGACGAGTGTTAAAAAGTGCCCAAATTAAGAAATGAACCAAATCACTAAAAAGACCACCTCAAAATTAGTAAGTATACAAAGTTTGAAGACGTTTACATGAATATCCTTCGAATAATAAGCCTTCGAATAATAAGCCTTCGAATAATAAGCTTTCGAAAATCGCGATATTTACTATGAAATGTATTGTAATTTTTGTTTTTGGGACGCGCGTCCCAAAAACAATCTTTTAATCAGTAATTTCACAACTTGGAAAGCTTATTATTCGAAGGGTATTCATGTAAACGTCGTCAAACTTTGTATACTTACTAATTTTGAGGTGGTCTTTTTAATTTCTTAATTTGGGCACTTTTTAACATTCGTCCCCAGTCCTCTCATCAACTTCGGAATGGCTAATTCTTCGGAACTTAGAGTTTACCTATGCAAAATTCCTACTGTGATCACAGAAACTTTGATGGTGTCAACCAACGTTAACTACTGTGCTGTTCATTTTTCGTTCAGGTAAAGCTGGTGATTGTCGCAACTCGATCTGGCAAATTATGAATTGTCCGTGGTACAGTAGATGTCAGTTATTCAATGGCTTTCCACGTTGTGCGTGTCCCCAGGAGGAATGTCCCATGAATTACGAACCACTGTGCGCCACCGACGGCAGGACATACCGTAATATGTGTCACATGAGACATGCCGCCTGTAGAAAAAGAAAGTTACTGCGAGTACGAAACCTTGGCCATTGTAGTGAGTATATATCATCGATTCATTGACTGATTTATCGATCGATTGACTGATTTATCGATTAAATTAGTGATTGCTTGAGTCATTCACTCACTGATTTGTCGTATGATTGATTAATTTATCGATCGATGGATTTATCGACTGATTGATTGATTTATCGAATGATTGACTAACTAATCCATCGATTGATTGCCTAATCTATCGATTGTTTAATTTATCGATCAATTGATGGGTTGATTTATCGAGTGATTGATTGATTTATCGAATGATTGACTAATTAAACTATCGATTGATTGGTTGACTAATCTATCGATTGATTAATTTATTGATCGATTGACTGATTTATCGAATCATAACTAGCTAATTGATTGATTGATTGACTAATCTATTGATTGATTAACTTATCGATCGGTTAATGAGTTGGTTTATCAACTGATTGATTGATTTATCGAATGATCGACTGACCAATCGATTGATTGACTAATCTATCGATTGATAGATTTATCGATTAATTAATTGATTTATCGATTGAATGTCTGATTAATATTTCCTCTTTTAGAACCAGATCCGTGCGAGTTTCATGAATGTTGTTGTGGTGCGATGTGTCGTGTGAATGAGACGAACTATGCGTCTTGCTCGTGTGACTTCACCTGCAGTCAACAATCCAATCCAGTGTGCGGGAGTGATGCTAGAACATACGACAGTCCTTGTGATCTAAGATTGGCCGCTTGTAAAGATCAGAACATGAAACTGACACAAATTAACAATGGAGCGTGTTTTGGTACAGGTAGGTCTTAGAGTTACTGCAAGTACGAAACCTACTCTAAGACCTACCAAACTATCAATATTTTTAAGAGACTGAGGCAGAGAATTCCACAAGAACACGGCCCTATAATGAAATGTTCGTTTACCCGCAGCTGATCTGTACATTGGAATATCCAAAATGTTCTTTTTCCTTGTATTAATGTCATGGACATCTGACCTGACATGAAACTTCTCACACAAATACGATGGTGCCAACCCCTTCAAGCATTTGAAAGCAAAAATGGCTTTTCTTAATTTTAATATGTATTTGACTGTAGGGTAGGTAGAGTAGGTCTTGGTAGGTCTTAGAGTACTTCTTAGAGTAGGTCTTGGTAGGTCTTAGGAGTAGGTCTTAGAGTAGGTGTTGGAACATAGGTCTTACAGTAGATCTTGGTAGGTCTTAGAGTACGTCTTGGTAGGTCTTAGAGTAGGTGTTGGAACATAGGTCTTAGAGTAGGTCTTGGTATGTCTGAGAGTACGTCTTGGTAGGTCTTAGGAGTACGTCTTGGTAGGTCTTAGAGTAGGTGTTGGAACATAGGTCTTAGAGTAGGTCTTGGTATGTCTGAGAGTACGTATTGGTAGGTCTTAGAGTACGTCTTAGTAGGTCTTAGAGTAGGTCTTGGTAGGTCTTGGAGTACGTCTTGGTAGGTCAAAACTTGGTTATATTGAATGAGATGACGAAAGTCGTTATGAAAAATACAATTTTTTCCCACTGTAGGTCAGGAGACAACAGTCTCGCCTGTAACACAGACAATTAATCCCTGTCACCATCAGATCTGTTCCTTCCATGCTACGTGTATTGTTGAACAAGGCTTCGCCAGGTGTATCTGCCCAGTTTGCTCTTTGACGCCCGCCCCAGTCTGCGGCTCGGACGGTGTGACGTATAATAACGAATGTCTGTTGAAGAGAGCAGGTTGTGTTTCAATGACAACCATCACGGTGGCGCGTAATGGATCATGTGGTAGGTTTAGTCTTTAGACGTAATGGTTAGAGCTATCCAGTTCATAACAAAGTTCAGTGCCCTTAGCTTTCACACGATAGTTCGGTTCCTGCTTCACCTTATCTGCACCTTCAGTTCGACTTTAGCGAATATCCCAGACCCTTACTCGACCTCTAGGAAGAGAATAGTTTAGAACTGATATAGTTATCCAGTACAAATATAGTTAATTTAGTTTAGGTTTCCTCCTGTGGTAACACTGGATCAATAAGATATGATCCTTACTGGACCTCTAGGAAGAACAGGTTTACGAACTGATAGAACCATCCAGTATAAATGAAGTTAGTTTAGTTTAGGTTTCCTCCTGTAGTAACACTGGATCAATAAGAGATGATCCTTACTGGACCTCTAGGGAGAACAGTTTAGAACTGATAGAACTACCCAGTGTAAATAAAGTTACTGTAGTTTAGTTTAGGTTTCCTCCTGTAGTAACACTGGATCAATAAGTATCTAGACAAATCAATTCAGAGCTGGTAAATAAAGTTAGTTAAATATAATTTCGAGAATGTTTAAACATTCCAAGACATTTTCTCCAGGCGCAACTGTACAACCAACCAGATCGACAAATGATCCATGTAAAATGGGCCAATGTGCACACTATGCGACATGTATGGTGTTCCGAGGCGTACCAAAATGTGTGTGCCCTGACCTCTGTCCTCAATTGATGGCTCCCATCTGTGGCTCGGACGGCATAACGTATGAAAATGATTGCGCAATGAGAAGAGCCAGCTGTAAATCCGAGAAGACGATCACTATGTACACCAGAGGACCTTGTGAAGGTAGACAACTTTGAACTGTACAAGGGGGGGGACCTTGTGAATGTAGACAACTTTGAACTGTACGAGGGGGGGGCTTGTGAATGTAGACAACTTTGAACTGTATGAGGGGGCAAGTGAAGTGAACAATTTTGAACTGTACGAGGGGACCTTGTGAAGTTAGACAACTTTGAACTGAACAGATGGGGACTTGTAGTAGACAACTTGAACTGGGTGGGGGACCTTGTGAAGGTAAACAACTTTGAACTGTACAAAATAACGGGTGTCCCAAAAAAAAGTACTCCGGTTTGATTTATAATAACTTCTAAACAAGTAAAGCTATCAAACAGAAATAACTTGCATTAAATAGAGGAAGGACTAACTTAGATTTTGATATATTACAGTTGTATTTTACTTAAACATTCACGGAGAAATTAATGTTCAAAATCGGGAGCATATTTTGGGATGTGTCTAAAATCAGCGAAAATCGGCATATCAAATATTAACTCCAGCGTTTGTTTGCGTAATGACATATCAGGCTAACTTGTATTTCAGTGAATTGTCGTTAGGGTTTGTAAGGGATATGGCGCAGATTTAGACATTTTAACATGCATGTAAGTCTTAGCTGATTGTTTCCTGAAATATTGAACGTTCGAAATTTAATATGTCTTTACAAACTAAAAGGTACATGAAAAACCATATATGCAAGGCAGGCGCTTAAATTTTTGTTAAATAGCCTAATTTTTTTATGTTTTTCATGGGTTCAAAACAGAGTTGATTATTTCTCGGTTAGAGCAGGATGATTTCTTTAATGAAGGAAATAATATTGCTTTTTGCAAATACACATCACAGTATCAACGCTACTATTTTGTTACGTTTTGTTCCAAAAATGTTGGATGTCTCTGGGGAGTTGCTTGTTATGTCATATGAAGTTGTATGGTTAGATTGTGTTTTATTCTCAGTTTATTCTGAACTTAACAAGATTAAGAAAAAGCAAAAGAGTTTGAGTGTTCTTAACAAGATTTCAGAACTTTGCAGAAGTTAGAAGAGCTTCACAATTCCATTGTGACAGCATGCCCTAATTCAGAACTACGAACGATATCCATGACGATCCTTAATTCGCGATGCAGTGGTCTCGTGAAATAAGGAAACGTATTCGTCTAAGGAACACACGCGGATTTCGGACGAATAAATCTTGCTTGTATTTTGTAGATAATAATACTTTGTTTCATAATAAACAATTTGTCAAGTGTCATTCATTTAATGGTAACAGTGCATGTTTCAATCGGGCAAATTTGGATTAATATTTGATACGCCGTTTTTTTGCATATTTCAGACACATCCAAAAATATGCTCCCGATTTTAAACATTAATATCTCCGTGAATTTTTAAGTGAAATACAACTGTAATATACCAAAATCTAAGTTAGACCTTCCTCTATTTGATGCAAGTTCTTTCTCTTTAAAAGCTTTACTTGTTTAGTAGTTATTACGAATCAAACCGGAGTACTTTTTTTTGGGACACCCGGTATTTACACAAATTTGAAATTTCACAAATCAGAGGAGATGCCCAAAAGATATTTACCCATACACCATACATAATGGCATCACCTTAGTATATATGCATGAACTTGCGGTTAGAGCTCGAAAAATTGTCGAGAGAAGTAAGTCAACTTGTCAAGTAACATTGTCAAGCAAAACTTGGTCAATCGTATGAGTCTTAAAGCTATTAGGGACCGGTCATTGTTTATTGCAGGGGTGGCACCGAAGAGAAAAGGGTTGGGTAAACAAAATTTTCAGCGAGTAAAAGGTTGAGTAAATGAAAGGCAAAACTCAAGGGTTGGGTAGTAAAAAATTATTGTCATTTCCAAAGCGTGACGCGTTTAAACCAATATTGAAGACTGGGAAGCAATGTCAACAGCCATATGTCAATACAATATGTAAATCAATCAGACTCACTATCTTGATCATTTCCTGATGAGTCAGGGGGTAAATGCTGTCTCCAAAGAAGGTACATGTGCAGAAAACATGAAACTTTAGACTGCACAAGCTGTTATCAAACTCATGTCACAGAAGTGGTATGAACGGTATCCTTTTGTAACGTTTTTGGCTATTTTTAAATTGATATTTGAAGTTGGCTAAAATATTTCCTGACTTTTTAATTAGCAAAATTTTTACCAAGCAAAACATTTCTCTTCGGTGTCCCCCCCCCTTCCCCAATAATGACCAGTCCCTGATCTTCGCATTGATTTCTTCATTCTTTCTACATTTCGTATTTGACGCAGTGAAACCCACATTTGAACCAGTCAAGCCAACCATGGATCCATGCTTCGACCAGTCTTGTACCTACCATGCCGAGTGTATAGTGGATCACGGGCTGCCCAAGTGTGTATGTCCTTCGAACTGTAAGAACATCAGCGCTCCTATCTGTGGGTCTGATGGTGTCACTTATGAAAACGATTGTGCTATGAAGAGAACGATTTGTACTCAACAGTTGACTGTAACTGTCGCTTCAAGAGGACGTTGTGGTGAGCAGAAATTGCTTTCTAGTTTTGTACCGTAGTATGCAACACTGGCGAACTTAAGCAAGGCTTAATCCAGTACGGGGACGTGACATTATAAGAAACGGCCTTGAATTTTACACTTTTAAAATTATAGCACCATAGCGTGCCACATACCATACTACACAATACCATGCCATATCATACCGTACTATATCATACCATACCATGCCTTGCCATTGCACACCATTACCATACCAGAAAACACCACACCATAACATAGCATAACATATCATACCATACCACACCATACCATACCATACCATGGCATGCCATTACACACCATACTATACCAGAAAACATCATAACATACCATAGCATACCATAACATCTCATACCTTACCATACCATATCATACCATACCATACCATACCATACCATGGCATGCCATTACACACCATACCAGAAAACACCACAACATACTACAGCATACCATAACATATCATACCATACCATACCAGATCATACCAGATCATACCAGACCATACCACACCATACCATTCAAAACCATATAACATACCGCTCTCTTTTTTCCAGCCTCACCATGTGACACAGTGAACTGTTGCTGTGGTTCTGTGTGCAAAGTGAAGAACAACACTGGCTCTTGTGAATGTGATTTCACGTGTTCCTCTCATGTTGATCCAGTCTGCGGCAGTGATGGCAAAACGTACAGCAACGAATGTCAACTCAGACTTGCTGCATGTCAGCAGAGTAACGCCAACTTGAAACAAGCATCTAAGGGACAATGTAAGTTGAAACAGCTGTCAGTCTATTCAATATTTTGTTCATTCAGTGCCGATTAAAATACCGATGCGGTCATGTTGTTGTCTGGGGGTGTTCCACGCCACCCCTCCCACACTCTCTACTCCTCCCCTTCCCACACACATGTCACATGTGTAATTCAGATCATCTTACTCCGGCATCCCATTCAGGGTTGGAGTGTTAAAATGGACATCTTTCCGTTTTTTTGTTCTGAAGAATTTTTTTCCTCAGGTCCAGTTGTCGTGCCTACATCTGACCCATGTGCTTTGGGTATGTGCGCCCACTACTCGGCATGTCAAGTGATACAAGGCCTGCCAAAGTGTGTGTGTCCAGACCTCTGTCCCAACGTGTTCTCACCACAATGTGGATCGGATGGAAAAACCTACCAGAACGAATGCTCTTTGAAGAGAGAGAGCTGTGACAAGCAAGTGATGATTTTAATAGCAAAGAACGGCCCTTGTGGTATGTTTTGACTTGTGTTATTAAATTGATAGATTTGACCTCCACTACCATTAAAGGGGATATGGCAATATAAATTAAGTTTATCTTATTTGAAAGAACATTGAAAATGATATATAAACTTCCTTCACAATTATTCCGTATCTTGCTTGGTTTTCGAAATAAATCGACTTATTTTGATCAAAAGCAGCGTGCATTCCGCCATCTTGGATATGCATTCGATATGCATCTGTCACAAGTAGGGTAAAAAGCGAAATTTTTATCTTGCAAACCACATGTCATTGTCAATATGAAACTCGATTTTCCGAAGTCTTTCGAAGAAATTTAGTTCCACATGAAGAAGTTTTAACAGGTTTACCCTGCTTGTGACGTCATCAAAAACTCAGTTAATTAGGTCAATTATAATACCAAGACGGCGGACTGCACACTGTTTTTGGTCAAGATATTTCGAAAACCAAGTAAGGTACGAAAAAGTTGTAAAGGGTGTTCATATATAACTTTAAAATTTCTTTCAATTAAGACAAAAGTTAATTTTTATTCCCATATCCCTTTGAGGGACCATTGACCAATCAGGTGCGTTCCGTATATCTGATTAACCAATCAGATACGTTTGATATATCCGATTAACCAATCAGATGCGTTTGATATATCAGATTAACCAATCAGATGCGTTTGATATATCTGATTAACCAATCAGATGCGTCTGATATATCTGATTAACCAATCAGATGCGTCTGATATATCTGATTAACCAATCAGATGCGTCTGATATATCTGATTAACCAATCAGATGCGTCTGATATATCTGATTAACCAATCAGGTGCGTTCCGTATATCTGATTAACCAATCAGACGCGTCTGATATATCTGATTAACCAATCAGATGCGTTTGATATATCTGATTAACCAATCAGATGCGTCTGATATATCTGATTAACCAATCAGATGCATACTAACCCAGTGAGAGGTTGTGGCAGCGGTAGTCAAATCCCAACCTTTCTATTGTCAAAAGCTTTGTGAAATAATAAAAAAAACTACACTTCTTTATCTCTTATTTTTATATAGCTCCAACTCCAACCCAAGCCCCCACCCCTACAAGAGAACCCTGCGCTACCATCACATGTCGACATTTCTCAACCTGCAAAGTCATTCAAGGCGTTGCCAGATGTGTGTGTTCAGCAGCTCTGTGTCCAGGAGAAAGGTTTGAAGTGTGTGGCTCGGACGGCAAGACATACGAAAATGAATGTGCTTTGAGACGAACAAGCTGTCTGGCTGGGAGGATTATATCCATTGTCAGAATTGGAGTTTGTCGTAAGTTGACTACATTGCCTGTTTATTGTCGATTTCATATTACTTTTCAAAGCGCGGTTCCCAAGTTTGTTGTCAATTTGCCATTTACGTTTCCAAATTCGGAAGTTGGGCGGGAACTTCGCAACGAAGTTTGCAAGTTCATTTCAAAGTTCGAACTTTGATTGTAAACAAATGTTCATAGTTGGAGTTGAAATTACTCTATAAATATTGGTCCAGTGATCTCCCAAGACGAAAAATGCCTTTTTAAATAAATTTATAAATGAAATTTTTACATTTGTTTACAATCGAAGTTCGAACTTTAAAATGAACTTGCGAACTTCGTTGCGAAGTTCCCGCCCAACTTCCGAATTTGGAAACGTAATTGGCAAGTTGACAACAAACCTGGGAACCGCGCTTTGAAAAGTAATTTGAAATCGACAATAAGTACTGTTTAATAAACGAGCAGGAGTGTTTTATTAGGTTTAAAGTCACGAGCGCGCAGCGCAAGTGGCTTTAGACCTAATAAAACACGTCCCGCTCGTTTATTAAACGGCTTCAAACACGACTACAAATTCAACCCCCCCCCCCTAGAATCTATCTAACCCCTCTAATAAAGTGTTCAACCCCACCAAAATTTCGCTTCACCCCTCCTATTTTGTGTCAAAGGCTTTAACCCAAACGCCTAACCCCTGCCGAGCTCACGGAGTGGTGTTTTCTACCCCTCCTTTTAAATAAATGAAAATCCGCCCTTGGTAAGATATGTGCAAAGCTAGAGTTTTACAAATCAAGCCTAAATTCACGATTTCTTGACCAAATTTAGCGCTCTTATAATTTAGATACAGGTTTAAGTGTTTGATTATTGCGAGGTGCGGTCTGATCGATAGAAACAAAAATATGATGTTGTCAATATAGATTGCCCAAAGATCCTAATATGCGTTTAAAAGTATATGAATTTGTACGTTTTAGCAATTAACTGATTTAGCAAACTGATTTCGTATGTATCGACTGTATTGTGTCAACTTGGAGCCATATATATTTTACTAGTCCATGCCACTGTTTGCCTGAAGTGCAACACATCGCGCAATCTAATCGATGCCGATCGCTGTTGCTACTAGACTAATTAGTTGATTTTTTTTTCGTCTGTAATTTGTCACTAATTTTAACTAAAGGTCCCACAGTAATTGGTGTAAACTGTTGTGGTGTCCCCGCCTCTTTTTGTGTCTCATGTATATGAATTGTTGTACTTGTATTGTGTACGTTTTTTGTCAAGGCGAAGCTAAATAAATAAATAAATATATTTCTCACTAACCAGTCCACTTTCATGTAAAGTATTGAGTTCGAGTTAGCGTGGCTTTTCTGTGATTTATTCCACTTCAAGGGCAGGAGAGTACTTCAGAATTTCAACACCTGACACCATTTTTCTTGAATCTTTTCTAGTGCGCACTTTACCCGCAGTGACTCAAGCTCCCACACCAAGAGCGGTGCTACCCACCACCCGGCCAGTAACCAGCGACCTGTGTGCAATTGGTAGATGCGCCCACAATGCTATATGCGAGGTGTACCAAGGACAGCCGCGTTGTGTGTGCCCCGGTCCCTGCACGGGCGCCAAGAGTGCCGTATGTGGTTCCGACGGTCGTACGTACGACAGCGAGTGTGACCTTAAAAGGTCGATTTGTATGTCACAGAAAACGATCACTATTGCTAAGCCTGGATTTTGTGGTATGTTATTGTTTCCCAAATACAATTTTTGTATATGATGGCTTTTCCAAGCATCTTTAGCGAGAACAGTTTAGAATTCTCTAGTAAGACCGGATTTTGGTAGAAATAGTGGCGGAAGTTTTAAAAATTTGAAGGGAGGTGCAGCGATCTGGCTTACGACCCCCATGGAAAGTTAGAGGTTAGAACGGGCCAAAGTCAACGTGACGTCCGCCTTCAATTCGCGGCTAGCCCTGGGTACGAGGTTGACGTGACGTGACGTATGCATGTAGTGTACATATGTATCAGCGTATTAATGAATTATGGCTGTACAACTCATCCAAAAAATTGAATATAATCATAACTGGAAAAGTGGAAAAGTATATTCATTAGTTTTGAGAGCTTGTTACGAAACATACAAAAGATTCTCCTCTTAATGCCGTCTCAACACTACCATGTATTCTATTTAAGTTAAAACATAGTTTATTTTGCTAATCTAGAGCTTGAAATGGCCCCTAATCCCAACTCTCATCAGGGGCGCCGGAAAGTCGATAATTGGGTGAGGGGGGCAGATATTCATATATTCATATTCACAGACTGTAAAAACAATCGCTTTCAAAGGAAATAAATGATGCAGAACATGAATATATGAATATCTGCCCCCCCCCCCTAATTATCGACTTTCCGGCGCCCCTGACTCTCATCCGCGGCGCTTTAGTTTGTTAGTGAACAAACCCACAGCATTTTCTTTTGTTCCTCTCTCCAGAGCCAGTTGGTCGCTGTCCCACACCTCAACTGTGCAACCAGCAATGTGATCTTAATATATGCAAAAGGAGTGGCAAACTATGCTGCTGTCGGGGATGTGCGATTGGCTGTACTACTCCTGTTTGGAGCTTGGATGTCCGTATGTATATCGAATGTATTATTTCATGAATTGTAATTACCTGTGGCCTTGCGATTCCGGTGCAGCGCTCTAACCAACTGAGCTACAGAAAGACAGTTGTCGAGCTCTAACCAACAATCTCATGTATAAATACCAAGGTATAAATGCCAATGCGAGGTGTACCGTAAACCTCCGAATATAAGCCCCCCCGAATATAACCCCCCCGTGTATAAGCCCACCACATGTACTAACGCTCACCTAATTCCAAATATAAGCCCCCCCCTCCCGAATATAAGCCCACCCGAATATAAGCCTACTTGTTTATCACTATTGTTTATCACTATTGCCACTATTAATCACTACTATTATTATGCTTAACACTTGTTTATCTTTATTACTATACTTGTTTATTACTATTACACCAACACAAAGATCGTCCATGTATAAGCACCCCCC